TAATCTTGCTGGCTAAGGAAACGGTGCATCCCAGGTGCGACAGTTTGTCGCGCAGAAGTTCAACATGTTCTTTGGGGATGCCTTTCAGGATCAATGGCCTTCGCAAGATCTTGGTGCTTTTCTTCACCAAGTGTCTTCTTGAGGGTCTTGAACCAATTGTTGATGGCTTGCTTTGTGTGGCCAGTGATATTCTGGCTGAGCAAAACTCGATCTCCAAGGTGCTGAGGATTGATAGCACGATCCACAATGTCATCTTTCATGACAAAGGGCAAAGGTGCTTCTTGCTTTCCGTCCAAGCGACGGCGCTTGGCTGGTTGGGAGCTTTCAGCACTCTTACTGTTGCGAGTATTCTCTGCTTCCAGCTGAGCTCGCAAAGATTCGATCTCTTGCTTGTCAGGATTAGACGACGAAGACATGTTGGAGACAAAGGGCTGCCTTGTGAACCTTGACTTCTTCAGAAGTGGGGTGAGACTTGGGAGGATCAGCGACGTTCCGGTCTTTACAGAATTGGGAAGCAACTTCATCTAGATCCCATTTCTTCTCTCTGATGGCTGACAGAAGGGCTTGGAGAAACACAGCTTCACTCACTTTCTCGCCACCAGCAGGCTTACGTAGTTTCCGTGGCTTAGTGCGCGGAGGTGTTGATTATGCCAGCCACTCTGCCAGTCTGTCTGCTGCTGTTGGTGCTGTTCCTGATTCTCTGGGTCTTCTGAAAAGTGCGTTTCTCCGCAGTCCAATTGTAGGACGGCCACGATTGGTCATCACGTTGATAGTTCCCCGTCTGCCACGATGAAGAGTTAGACCACCACGAGGACTGATGAGTCATGATGAACAAGCGAAGGAGGGGAGCGCAACAGAGAATGTGAGGCTGCAGGACATAATGGTTGATGATTGATGAAAAGAGAACTTTCTGCAGTCGGATTGCGTTCTGCACACGCTGAAGGCGCTTGCAAGCAAAGCTCCTATTGCAATCAGATCTCACTCTGCACACGCTGAAAGCACTTGCAAGCAACGTTCCTATACACTGCCGAAGATGATTATAAAAAACACAGGAATGATACGTAGATTGCAAATCAGCACGTTTTGTAACACTTCAATGTAGGCGCAGAAATGCTAATCTACATGCTCAATAGATCGACTTCGTGATCGGGGGCGGGAACGTGTCCTGAGAATGCCCTTGGGTGGCGTCATGTCACTGGCTTTCGCACAGTAAGCCTTTACAGACGAAGACCTACTGGGTCGCGGATCATTAGGTGGACTCTTCGGTGGGGGAGGTGGTGCCACATACGTAGCCACATTGGGTCTCCACACGAAGCTGCTTCTGGGAGGTCTGTAAGGCAAAGTCGAGGGGCCTCGAGGTCACAGGTTCACTGTATTCTTTGCCAACAACTTTGGCATAGCCTTGCGAGGAGGATCACCTCGAGCAATGTTACGAGCTTCTTCGGCAACTCCTTCATGTAGCTGTTGTAGGAACACCGTTCGCACTGAATGGTTGGTGAGTATACCATAAAGAATCATCTGCTGTCGTGGGGTCATGCTGTTGATAATGTCATCAATTTCGTCCAGATGATCATCCCGACGACGTTCATGATCATTGCTGCTACCCGACATGTTGCACACTACAAAGAAGCTTAGCCTAGAACAGAAAACAGGCACAATTTGAAGCTAAAGCTGGAATGCAATCAGAACGGCAACTCTTTAACTACAGAGAACTTTGTTTTGCCGCTTGGGATTTCCGCAGAGTTGTCACTGTGCAGGATCAACTGTATTCTTGTCTAAGACTACTTTGGAAGCAGGCTCATACGAAAGCAGCTCACTCCAGCTGGGGCCCCACTGTTCATCAGAATTAGAAGATTCTCGAGCGGGCGAGAGCAAATAGAATCTTGAGACTTTGGCGCTGGATTCCCGAATAGCCCATCGCTTGTCCTTGGAGGGAGATTTGATCAGCTCAAAATCTCGCAAATCTTGCACTTCATAGAAGGTGTTGGCTGATGTAGACTTCGAGTGGGCACAATTGATTGTGCCACTGACAAGAACTCCGCATTGGTTCTTGGGGTGGAACGCCAACTTGCTGGATATACCAGCTGCTTCCATGTCCGATCCCTCAAAAGCTGCACGTCCACAGAATCCGTAGGCAGTCTCTGTTGGTTTTATTCCAACGGTTTCGTTCCAAGTACGAAAATCTCTGCCACTCTTGAAATGCCAAGCAAAGAGGCTTCACTACATCCATGCCACCAACGATAGGTATTCTGGCCAGTTCCTAGTGCAGACAGAGCAGGTCCAGGAAATTTGTCGGCGTCGATCTGCCACATGATAATGTTGTGGGACCAAGCTTTACCAGGTGTTGTGAAGGTCTGTTCATAAGGAAGCTTAACAGTAACAATGGCTTGACAGAAACTGATAAGCACTGCAGGCTGCACGTCCCAAGAGAAAACATCTGTGGGCGCAGGTCGTTGAACCAGCTGCAAGAAGAACCGAATGCAACGAGTGAAGTCATCACGAGGCACTCGTGACCACAGTTTAGACTCTTCAGCAAGGAAAGCAAGACGACCATTGTAGTACTTGAAAAGCTGCATGTCCGGTAGCTGCCAAAAAGTTGCAAACTCATTCTCCTGTGCATCCTTGACAATGACAGAGTTAAGCACTTCCTCAGTCAGTCTAGCACGTCGAGCAGCAATGGCACCCTCAGTGCTGCCACAGGAATTGCCCGAGATCGGGCCTGAAACCACAGCTGAAACTGTCTGAAGCAAAGCCTGCGATGTGGCTTCCTGAGTGCTTCTGCTCTGTGATGGTGGAGGTGGGGGTGGTGGAGGTGGAAGTGGCAAGGTGGAAACAGTGGATTGTTTGGGAGGTGGTCCAGTGGGGTGCGCGGGCTTTGTCACAGCCGTGTTGATGGTGGGTGGAGGTCGTGGTGGTGGTGGTGGTGATGGTGGTGGTGGTGGTGGTGTGGGAGCCGTGGTGGTGCTCACAGTGGGAGGTGAAGGTGGTGGTGGTACTGATGATTGAGGTTGAAAGGGTGAAGCTGACGGTGGAACTACATATGGCGGTGATATTGGATCAAGGTTCGCAGAACACGCAGCACTGTAGTTAAAGTAGCCAGGTGGAGGTGGGCTGATGACAGGCGGAGGTGGAGCTGCTTGTGTTTGCTCCTAAAAGTCGAGCACTCTCTGGCGCAAGCTGCGCTGGAAACAACAGATTCTCAGCATAGTTGTTGGAAGCAGGTGATTTGTATGTAGCCGTAGAAAAAGTGGTCCGGGATGTTCGGGACCTTCGTGAACGGCTTGGGGATCTTCCTCTTCGACGGTGCGACCTAGATCTTCTGTGACGGCAGCTACGACTGTAGCAAGACGAGGTACTGCGAGATCTTGTGCGCTGACGTCGATGGTAGGCTCTCCGGGGCCTGTAGGTACTGCAGGATCTTGTGTGCTCTTCCCGGTAAACTCTTCTAGTTCTGATTGCCAGATGTGGAGCCTGAGTGGGCCTGACTGCAAGCACTGGTGAAACTCGATATGGTGATTGCTCTGGCAAAGTTTCCGGCAATTGCGCAGGCATCGGAGCTTCTGAAGCTGTCGACGGGACATCTTCCGGATGTCTCTCTTGCTGAAAGTGAAAGTGATAGTTCGCCATGGCAGAGGACACAGAGCTGGAACAATGATACAAGAATGTTAGATGATCAGATGATTGTGGGACTACTTCTGGGATCTTCCAAAAATTGGGGTCTTCCAAAGTTTAGGCAAACCTGCTGTGCTTTCAAGCACTGCTTTCACTTGATCCATAGGCAATCAAGCTCTCAACAGCTGGGGCCTCAGTCTTGTGGGTCCCGTGGGTCTCAAGGCTCATACTTGATTTGGTAACAGGTAAGGGTAAGTCGGAGCCTGACCTTGTGGAGCTTGTGGGACTAGAGGCTCACGTTTCAAGGTAAAACTGGATGTTCCAAGGTTTATCCCCCACTGACCGGGAGTCCGACAGCGCTTTGGCAGAATTACTGTCGGGAAGCACACTTGCTGACCAGTCATCCTTACTTAGGTGGATGCTGTTTGCTACGCTCTCTTTTGTCTATTCTCTTCATCATTGTCACTTCACATTGTTTTGGCCGACTATGAAACAACAGCATCTTGAGGGTAACTTCGGGCGCCCACTGCAGGTACGTGGAATCGGCGTCCCGATTCCATATCACCATACTGAAGGAGCGTCCTCGTTGAGTGGTGACTCCAACAGCATGCGCCACTCCCCTGCTTGTGAAAAATCTCTGCAACACGCTTGTCCTAAATCCTTAGACACAGGAGCTCCACACACACACACACACACACACACACACACACACACACCCCCACACCCACACACCCACACCCCCACACCCCCACACCCCCACACCCCCACACACCCACCCACACACCCACACCCACCCACCCGCCCCCGCACAAACAGCAGACGCTGCACGCAATAGCAAGGACACCAAAGCCAGGGTCACGGTTATCAAAAAGGGGACTACAAAGGAAACCAACACCGACAACTGCAAACATAACAAGATCCAGGCAGGGATGTAAGCCTGTATTTGTAGCAACGGGAAGATTCAGATCTTCTCCCGGTGGCTAGCATTGACGAGCCCGTCCACTGCAGCCAGCGAAGCCTAGTGCTGAATCGTTTGTGGAAAGTCCTTCGGGTGGGGGCTTCCATGAGCCCTTCCCCGGCTGCAGTCCACTTCTGCCGCTGCCTCATACGGTAGAAAATCACACGGGGCGCAGTTGAGAGGACTGGGCAATCTCCGTCCCCTGCAGCTTTCGACTCTCTCGTTTCGTTTGGGTAGCCGGTGTGTAAACACCAAGATATCTTCTTTTCGCTCTTGCGAGTTGCATCACAACCTTCAGGGCAAGCTTCTCTACGAGCGTGCGCTACATGTGAACAGTTGCGGTTTTGCTTGCCGGATGCCGGACGACTGTGACCGGGCGCCCTCCGTCGGCTTCTTGAGCGTGAGAGTTGCAATCCAGAGTGCTTAACTCTCAGAGTCTCAGAGCCCCCAGCCGGCCAAGACTCAAGCGACTGCAGTGCCATGCTAAGCGTGTTTTCGGGACCCGACAAAGTCTGCAGGGTGTATCCTGCATGAAGGCAATGATGTCGCGAATGCCTTCCCGGCACAAAGATGCCCCAATGAGGGCAACAGGGCAACTCCTGCCTTGTGGAGTGATCTGGGCTTCGCCCAGCAAGAGCTCCTCACAACCGCCTTCGGCGACAGCCTCCAAACGAGGGAACGAGAAGGAACAAACGGCCGAAAGTCTGGTCTGGGAGGCGGCCTGCCTCAAGGATTTCGCGGAGGTCCTCATCGAAGGCGGCCGTCTTCTGATAGAGAGCCGGATAATTCGAGAAGTCCGCGACGCCCTGAGCGGAGCGGCGCAAAGCACAGGACCTCGAGTCCCACCACCGACGTGTCGGCAACCATGTGCCTCCGGAGTCCCACCCAGTCTTGTCAGCTCCAGCCGTTGCCGGAACTTTGCGTACTGCAGTCTCGTCCTGCCCAGCGGTGCATCCGGGCTCAAGAGAACAAATTCTCAAAGAAGAAATCCCGTAAGGGTTAGTTGGTGGTTGCAACAGTCAAAGGCAGGGTACCTTGCCAATCCCACCCCGCCGTCCAACATGCAACCCCCCGCCCCGCCAGATCATACGCAGCAGCGTCTTGCACCTTCACCATGGACTGGCACAGTGACTCCCTAAACAAAGCTGAAGTATACCTATACTTTCAAAAGTCAAACAGCATGAGGAGGCTCCTAGGGTATCGCGGGCATTCGTGACAATCGGACAGCATCAGTCCACCAATCGAGCCTGTGGCACCTAACAAAGCCACCGAGGAGATAAGGACCCGAAAACCTCCTACGATCCCCAGCCCAGGAAGCTGGCGGAGTTCTAGTGATCGAGTGCTCTTTGCTGTCGCGGTCCGTGCTGCTGATGGCGGTGCGCTACCTTTACGGACGGCAATTGTTGTGGTTGATCGGCTAGCCGCCTTGTTGTCGTCCTTGGTGCTGCTGGTCCTGTTGGTATTCTTGTCGTCGGGGTCGTTGCGAAGATATCCGTGTAAGCTTTTTGTACGCCGCTTTCGCATATGCCGACGACCTTGATCCGGAATCTGACAGTCTTCCGCCTTTTCATCCTAACTTTATCCACTGCACTATCTAAAGCTTGGGCGCCACACACAAGACATACGGCAAACAGGAACACGAGAAAGCCACAACACAGGTACATAAAGTTCCCAGCAGAAACAGACAGGTTCTCTATGGTTCCTACTCCAGAACCGAAACCACGAAGTAGATCTGAAACACGCCCCCTTACTTGGCGATTCGGTTCATCACATGTTTTAATTGGCACGCCCCCTCATTTGGCGGTTCCGGCTCATCATACATCTACAACACCCCCCCTCATTTGGCGATTCCGGTTCATCATTCATCTTAAACATGCCCCCTCATTGCGCGATTCGGATTCATCGTATATCTTAAGCATGCCCCCTCATTTGGCGATTCCGGTTCATCATCTATCTACAACACTTGCGCCGCCTCATTTGGCGATTCCGGCTTCTCAAAAATCTACAACACGCCTTCTCATTTGGAGTTTCCGGTTCATAATATGTCTTGAACACGCCCCCTCATACGGCGACTCCGGTTCCTCACATATCTTTCACACGCCGCCTCGTTTGGCGATTCCGGCTCATCTTATTTCTTAAGCACCCCCCCTCCTAGGCGATTCCGGTTCATAATATATCTTAAGCACGCCCCCTCATACGGCGACTCCGGTTCCTCACATATCTTTCACACGCCCCCTCGTTTGGCGATTCTGGCTCATCTTATTTCTTAAGCACCCCCCCTCATAGGCGATTCCGGTTCATAAATGTTCATAATATATCTTAAGCACGCCCCCTCATACGGTGACTCCGGTTCCTCACATATCTTTCACACGCCCCCTCGTTTGGCGATTCTGGCTCATCTTATTTCTTAAGCACCCCCCCCCTCATAGGCGATTCCGGTTCATAATATATCTTAAGCACGCCCCCTCATACGGCGACTCCGGTTCCTCACATATCTTTCACACGCCCCCTCGTTTGGCGATTCTGGCTCATCTTATTTCTTAAGCACCCCCCCTCATAGGCGATTCCGGTTCATAATATATCTTAAGCACGCCCCCTCATACGGCGACTCCGGTTCCTCACATATCTTTCACACGCCCCCTCGTTTGGCGATTCCGGTTCATCATGTATCTACAATATGTCCCAAAGGAAATGATCGAATGGTGGGTTTCAACCAACAGACCTAATGTACATTGAAGCAAGGTTTCGCGGCTCAAAACAGCGGGGGCGTTGGGCGGGTCCACAATCTTCGCATGATGGGCTTCGGGGGGTGTGGCATCCAGGAGCCTGGAATATCTGTGATGGGGCATGAGGAATTTCGGCTTCACGGCGGAATCTTGTCTTCAGGCGGCGTTTCTTTTCGCGTGCAGTTTGAGATTCAACTCCTTACCAACAACTTCGTCTTGGCGGGTGGGGGGGGGGGACGAAATGAGGACCCAGTTCTCCGGGTCAATGCAAAGAAGGCTGAAGCAGTCATCATTGACCGTCGCCACGAATTCAATCCCGTAGTCTTGGGCCCTCACAGCTTGCAGCAAAAACTCTTACATTTTCGGGCCCTCAGCCTCCCTTCTAGGAGAAACATGCCGCATACACTTTGCTGGGGGCAAACCGATCGCTGAGGCATGAGGCCCATCCCCCGGGTCCCCCGCACGCGCTTGAGCCCAGGCCCCCCCAGTACAGGAGAGGAGCAGGAGCTGCCGCCCTTTGTTGCTACAGATGGCAGGATCCAATCTATATTTCGACTCTTGAGACTCCCTTTGAAGATTTCTGGAGAGCTTAAGACTTGAAGGCAGAGACGCCGCGGGGCTTGCGCCTGATGTGTGCACACCAGCGGCGCGCTCTGCTCTCTGCTCTCTGCGGACTCTGCTCTGCTTGGCTCCTGGGAGGATCTCCAAAGGTCGGTCCCGCCGCGGAGAAGTTTTGGCCAAAGGGCCCAGCGTCGCCGTTGCTGCCGAAGTGCTCCACTTCCGCCAAGGCGATGGCCGCCTAGTCCCAGCGAAGTGCTGTGCAGCTCTCCTCCGTCTCTCCGTCTCTGCTTCGCTTCCTGCCTCGGTCATGAGGCGCCGGTCAACAAAGGTCTCCTCGGGCAGCAGCTGCTCGAAGATCTCCCGCCGCGTCTCCACGTCAGCACCTCGAGACGTCTGCGGCAAAACCTCAAAGCTCCGACAAAAGGGGCGTGTGTGCACAGAGCTGTTGAAGCGCCGTAGATCACTTCCGTCTTCACGCGCTCCTCTGGGCTCACCTTTAAAGCATCGAGGAAAGAAAGCCTCGCTGTGCGTCCGAGGCCCGGCCTGCTCGGCATCCAGGCTCCGGAGCCGCGGCAGGCGGTGCAGGACCTGCGCGCGGTACTGCGGCAGCTGGGACCTCGGAGCATCGAGTTTCAGAGCGCGCTCCCCCCCCGCGCGCTCTTTCTCCGAAACATTGTGAAGTAGTGGACACGGGGTTCGGGTTCAGGTAGAGCTCGCTGAGGAAGCGGAAGTCGGCCAGCTGGTCCACCTCCCTGGCAGCAGGGCGCAGCTAGGAGTGCAAGGAGCAGCCTCTCAGTCTCTCTCGCCTCATTTGCGAAATACGATTCTCCGAGACCCGCAGCTTGCGTAAGCGAGGAATGTCCTGCAAGCCGGGCTCCGGTCTCCCCTTGAGCCCTTGAGGCCCTGAGTCTTTTGCCTGGGCATGCAGGGCTTCGATGGTCGTGATGTTGTTGTGTCGCACATCGAGGCTGTGAAGCTTCGTCAGGGACTGCACGCCTTCGACGGAGCTCAGCTTGTTCTGTGCGAGGGAGAGAGTCCGCAGCTCCAGGTGCTCCAGATTCCGAATCTGAAGGATCAGGTTCTCGGAGAGGTCCAGGAGCCGCAGCTCCTTGTTGCCCAAGAGCCCATTGCCGATGTAGCCGATGTAGTTGCCGCCTCGCAGCGCGAAGCGGCAATGTAGGAGTTAGGTGGCTTCCCCCTTCCTTCCCGTGAGCCCCTGGCGCAGGTTGAGCTCCCGCAGGAAGCGATGCACTTTCCAATCTCCGAGCTCTGCCAGCATGTTGTAAGACATGTCACAGGTCTCAAGTCCGTCGGGCGCAGTGAAGTTCTGACTCCTGCGAGCCGCATCTGTAAGTGGAAATCTGACTCTCCTGGAGCAAACTACCAGTTACTACGCAGTTATCTGCCAGTTGACAGTCCTGATCAGGAGGTTGTGGCTGGCGTTCAGGTGCAGCAGATGTCTCAGGGCGCCGATGGGCTCCAAGCCCCGCAGCCGATTCCGGGAGACCTCCGGGGCCGAGCGCGGCCAAAAGCTCAGGTCGAAGAGGAGAACAAAGAGAGCGAGAGAGAGAGAGAGAGAGAGAGAGAGAGAGAGAGAGAGAGAGAGAGAGAGAGAGAGAGAGAGAGAGAGAGGGAGAGAGAGGGAGAGAGGGGGAGAGGGAGAGGGGTGCCGTTCTCAGGGTGAAGCAAGAGACGAGGGGAGACGGACATGAGAGCAGCTTCTTGCAGACTCGTCACGTTCAGAAACTGCAGCTGCTCCCATTGCCGCATCTTCACCAAGGAAGTGAGGTTCAAGCCGGCAAGATCGCACCTAAGCAAAGGCAAAGCAAAGAGCACATGCAGCACACCTCACACATGGTCTGCGACTCGAAGGATCGGAGGCCCCGGGCGGGGCCCCGGCCGGACATAGGCATGTTGCCGCGTCCCCGTGTCGCCCATCTGTGACAGACCCTCACGAATTTGCTCCTCAGCATGCTTTGATGAAGGGGCATCGCTATGCATCGCTACGCTCCTCCGTGACTGGCACGGGGTCGTCCCGCACGGTCAAGGTCTCGTGAGGCAGCCACCTGCCACACTGTGGAGCACGCTGCGGCACTGTCCGGCTGCTCGGATCGGCTTCGGGCACTCGGCCAAGGTGCAGATCCATCTCCCCCGGCACCGGAGCAGCTGTCCAACGTGGCACGACCCCCGCCGCTTCCACAGCGCTCCTCACCGCTTGCGCCCAAGTCCAAGCACTCTCTGCTCTCGCAGTCTCGCATTCGCCCTTAGCGTGGGACGGCTCTGGAACAGCTGGAGCAAGCAGCTGCCACTGCAGCCTGAGATTTTCTGAGCGGGCCGCCCTCCCCCCCACAGCATCTAGCGCAGGAGCGAATCTCGGAACAGGGCCCATAGTAGGTGTTCGCGGCATTCAGTGCTTCGTCCACAACCAATTGGACGGTGTCGGGGAAAAAAGCGGAGCACTCCATATATCCCCAGCCGCCGTATCCTGCGAGCTCCGCTCGCAAGATACGCCCCAACACAACTGAGCTCGCGCACTTTGGACGAAGGCTTCGGCTTCGTCCGGGGCCACCTCGGAGATCAGTCTCTCTTTCGGGTGCTTGACTGATCTGTGCTGCCCGGGAGCCATGGGCAGTTGATCTCCTGCCGCCTGCGAAGCTGTCACCAGAAGTCTCAATCGTGCTTGTTGTGTCGTGTCGTGCTCGCCTTGGAGCGCTCGCGCAAGTCCGTTTGCAAGGAGACGAGCAGCCAAGGAGTCTCGGAGTGAATTTGCCAGAGTAGCGGCCTGAGACCAAAAACCACAATCGCCAACACCGCAGCCCACAAGCACACAACAAAACGGAGGCGAAGCTGCAACCACTTCTTCTTGATGCTGGTCATGGTCTCCGGTTTGTCCGGTCGAAAGCACAACAAGATGACCTGCAGCACTGCAGCGCTCACGCTGTGCTCAGGCGCTCAGCTCTGGGAGCTGCACGTGCGCAGCATGGATCGCAGCACGCTGCATCTTCTCGAATCTCGGGCCTCCGCAAACGGGAGGCCCCGGCCCCGCATGGCCCGCTCAGCGGCGCCCTCTGAGCGCGGAGCTTGCGGCTCCGTCTGTAAAGCGCACACGGCACAGCTCCCCCTCCAGCTCCACCATCGCCACCTGCAAGCTCAGAACTGGGCTCTGCGATTGCCGCCGTTGCTGAGGGCTTTGCCATACTCTCCAGGTTGGGTAGTTCATCGAAGGGTTCGGAATGCTTGGCGAAGTCCTTTGGCGAAGGGAGACATCAGAGATCGAGGATACGTTCGGCGCTGTCCTTGCTTGCACCAGTTGCAAGGTTCAAGGCGTGCTTGTAGCATTGCAGAAATGCCGATTGCCCGATCCCGGATTCTCCAAGCAGGCAGAAATGCAGGCATCGGTCTGGCTGCATGACTGCACCTCGGCTTCTGCGGCTTCACTTAGAGGCCCGGGGCCCCATTTTTCCAAGCTCGCGGCCGCTTCATCGCCAGGACCCCCTAAGCCCTACGCCTACAGAGCCAAAAGCGCACCATGCGCGCGGCGCGGGGCACATGCTGTTTCATTTTTCGATCGTGCACCCCCTCCCAACCGTCCCAACCCTCATCAGTTGCACGCCGTGCTCATGGCATCGGACGAAAAAGTGCCGGTACAACCAATGCTGCGCGGTTGCATTGACGGAGCTTCTGGTGCCCCTCGTTACGTCCTTCGAACGGCGTCTAACTATCACGAGTGGATGAAATGTGCCGGTACCGCCTTTCTGAGGAGTCTTGCCTCTGGCGGGTCGCCTCAACAGGATGCTTAGGCCAACGCCTCACCGCGTCCTATTCACGAATCCCAAGCTGTGTCCTCGATGTCGGCGCATAAATCGCCCTTGTACTGCGGTGTGGGTCTGGTCCCACAAGCCCCTGCCAAAGATGTAGCGTCACTACGTCCCTCCTAGTGGAACGCAGGCCAACTCGGCGGCCCTTCCGACGGCATTGCCGCAAAATGGCTTCTAATGCGGAACCTCGCATGATCAAACCGATGACAGTAGTAAGTAGAGTTCCGTCGAATTCTTCCACCAGGCACAGTTAACAAACCTATCCGGAACCATGTCGTATGACGACACAGGCAGAGAATGGGATGCGCAAAATACGTCGGCCGGTTGTTATACCCGGATCTATGACTAAGCCAAACGGGTCTTTTGCACACGAGTTGAAACCCACTAGCGAGCACCACGGCCTCAACCCACCACCAGTAGACCTGAACCGACAAGCCCCCAACCCCTTAGCTTGCAGCGCTCCAGGTTCCCCAAGATTACTTGAAGTTGCTGCTTCCGGCAACAAAAAGTGAAAGGAATCTGAACACAACTCGTGCACTCTTTCCGCTGCAGAGATCCTCTGCTCGGTAGAAAGCTCAGCTTAGCTGGTGGTGAAAACAAGGCGGCGGGTTACAAACTGACAGTGAGCCGTTGGGTTTCACGACGCCGAGGTCCAGGTCGGAAGGATGGCGAATCAGTCTTTTCCGCGAAGACTGGATCACTTGCAACACTGGAAGTGGCCGCTGAACAGCCCACGTCCGAATGCGACTGCGCTTGAGAGGGCTCGGAGGGTGAATCACCGTCGCCGTCACCTGCACTCAAGAGCCATATTGCCGCTCACATGTCTTTCTTCAGAATGTCTCAGAATGCATTCGGAGCACTGCTGTCTTCCACGAGAAGGCTCATCGCGACAGGGTCTGCCTGGGCTATGACGCGGCAAAGGCCGAAAGCAGGAACTTCAGCGCAAAGCGCCGCAGCGCCTCTGGACGCACATCTTGAGGCTGGCCTTCCAGAGGTAAGACTTTCCTGCGTAGCAGACACCGGCCTTTCTTTTTGCATCGGCTTTCTTTCTGTGCTCCCTCTCCCGCTCAGACAACGCTGCCTGCCCCTCGCCGACATGGGTAGCAACATTTGCACGCAATATTACGAGTACCACATCTTGTGAATGGGCCTGGCATGAGAAGGGAATTATCTCTCTCTCTCTCTCTCTCTGTTTCTCTGCTTCGCCAGGGCTTGGGGAGCGTGCGAGGCCCCCCGGCCACATGGGCCCCCCATGTGTTATGGGTTTTTTGGTAGGGCGTGAAAACATAACGAGTCCCCCTGATTAGCCGTAAGATATATTGGACGAGAAAAGACTCAGGGATTCTCAGTTATTGGTTGACACGTGCATGTTTTCAGTCAGTCCCACGTGGTCCCCCGTTATCAAAATCGCAACATACCAAGTATGAATGCACGCTGACAGCGTACTCTGGGATCACGTGTTGACCGCTCCACGGTCGCAAGTGAGGTGATTCTTTTGTGGTGTTTAACAACCGTTCGCAAACACAAACAATTGAGCTAGTTGCAGATTACGTGTTAAGGCTGCATTAAGCCACAAGAATATCGTCAATTGTGCACAAATGCCGGGGTGCCGATTGAAAGGACACGAACAACCTGAAGAGTATAGGATATCATAGTTAAGTTCGCTGGTTCCCCCGGTTTGTCATCACCTACCACTAGGATAAAGTACATGGCTTTGCAGTTCCTCATCGCTCTCCCTTGCAGGCAACAGCTGCATAACACCTCGCTGAGAACCATACGTTTGATGGGGAGTTGCACAGAGGCTGCAAGGTTTGAAACCGTTGGTTACTGTTTTGAGTCCCCCTTGTACCCGGCTATCCCTTTTGGAGCAAAGCCAAAGGCTACAAGGAAAAGCAAGCTTGTACCGGTTGTTGTTCGAAGCCGGGTACATGGGTTTTCTATTACTCCCGGTTGTATGATGTCCCCCGAGCTTTGGGAATATCGACAGCTAGCAACCTAGCAACAAATTGCTTGTGTCGGCGAAGCACTGCTTATCACCGGGGCCAACGACTGCAAGGTGCAGGCTGGTTAACACGTGTGGGCAAACACAAAAAGCATACCTGGATCTTTAGACTTAGTTAGGGTATGTCCCCACACCTGCATGATCAGCTTTACTTGGGACGTCCCCCGCACTTCATCTTCGGATGAATCGTGTACTCCGCTTACATGCTACTTTCATGTAGGTGGATCGTATCATTTGAGCCAGGGTCAGGAGAACTCGGCGGTGTAGCTGGCCGCGGTCGTCGTTGTCCTTTCACTCGCGGTGAAGGTGGTTGTACCGCTCCGTCAGTGTCCCCCAAGCCATGTTGATGGTCCAGGCTCCACCATTCTCCCGCATGCTCCGTGGAAGGTTGTCCCCTGCTTTCTTCAGGAATAAGTCGGGACGCTCAAGGACCAAGTTCATCGCCGCTTCTTGTTTGGTTGGCAGAAAAGACACTGGGTATGTCGGCAGCTCTGCGAGGATCGCGTGCGCGACGTCCACAGCATGGCACCAAGCAGGTGGGGCGATTTCGGCAGACATCAGGTTGCTTTCGGTCCCCCCATCCGCTTGGCTGACGACATCTGCGGGATGTGCAAGGACCTCGCCTGAGATGAGGACCTCCAGTGCGTCCCCCACTGCGACCAGTCTTGCCCACACCGTTCCCCGCGCATTCCCATCGAGGATCGCATTGAGCACTTCCCTCAAAGGAGTGAGCGCCGGAGGCAACTGTAGGTGCAGGCTGATGTCCCCCCGGTTGCAAGGTTTCCAGCCATTGCAGCACGTCGACGACCATGGGTGCTACCGTGTAGTATGACACACACTGTTCGTTTGCTGTCATCTGTACACGACCCAAGTTACGAAGTTGCTGGGTTGCTTGCAAAGCTTTTACAAGTATGTCTCTGCGTTGGCTGGACCCCCTACCGTGGCTGCCGCTGCCGCTTGCTTGGTGTGAGGTTGTTGGCGCATTGCTAGGGGCTAGTTCGTCCATGGCGTCCAGCTCCGCTGCCGTTTGGCTGTCCACCAGGAGGTCCGCCAATGCTGTTGTGGCTCGCTCGACTATGTTGGCACCTTGACTGTCATCATAAGTTTCAGCAATTCGGCGTATGGCCATGAGGTGCTGCTCCACTCTCTGCCAGGATCGGAGAGGTTCCCCGGTTCCCCCGTTTTCTTGAGGGATGTCGGTGAGTGCTGGTGCTGTGGCTTCGATTCGTGGGTCCATGGGAAGCTTCTGTGTTTGTGTCAGGTCGTGTTTCTGCCGGCATGTCTGCAGGCATTTTGTTGTGGCTGACAGTATATCTGGACTAGGATGTTCTCATCATGGCTTGCTTCGGCCTCCATTGCTGCTGCTGTAGGACGGAGGTATCTATGCGTGAGGGACTCGTCATCTGTTTCAGAGTGTGGCGCAGGGGAGTGCTGGGGTGCTGGGCCACTGGGTGTAGCTGTATATGGGGCCTGTTGGTCCCCCGAATGGCCAATTTGTCTGCCATCTCGCAGTCTTGCTCCGAGGGGTGTGTCTTGTGGTCGGTGCGGCTGTGGTGTTTGCTGTCCCCCTGTAGGGTTGGCCGTGGCTGTGGCTGGTGTACGACCACGTAGGGGTCGAGTGTCGACAAAAGCTGCATTGTGGAAGGTGTTGCTCGTCGGGTGAGCTGGGTGGAGTGGGATCAGCTGCCGTGGCTGTTGTTGTTGGCTTGCCTTCGCTGGTGTGCTGCACATCTTGGGGAAGTTGTTGTTGGGTGGCAGTGGCTTGTGAGGAGGATGGCTGTTCCCCCTGATGGGGTGGTTTTGCCGTGTGGTGCGGTTGGCAGTGCTTCGATGTCTGGCGGTGGGTTGGGTCGCAAGTGTTCCACCCTGCTCGTCCAGTCATTGGCGAACTCGAACAGCAGTTTGTTTGTCTCCTTCGGCCAGCAACATGGCCTGGTGTTCATATTCCGAGACAGGGGGCGGCTGAGCCACCATTAGCAACCAATGGTTTTCGGTGATGGGGATCCATCCCGCAGATAGGACCGGTGCTGTGGCTGCTGTCCCCTTGGCGCCGAGCTTCACGGTTTTCGGAATGCCCCGAGGGGGGGGGTGGACCATCTGGTCGCCGGGTCACCGTGAGCTCCCAGCATCCGTAGCTGAGCTGCCTCTTGCCGCTTGTCGTTAACGCTGCAAGAGGGGGCCTATGTGCCCGGAGGCCCGTGTCACGAGTCTCTCGAAGGCAGAGAGGAGTGCGACAGGACAAGGCGACGACAGGAGTGAAACAGCAGTGCGCAAAAGGCAAGGGAAGGCAGCAGTGCGAAAAGGGAGCAGACAGTTCACAAGGGCAAGGCAGTGCGAGGTGCAGTTCTTTAGTTTTTTTTTGTGTTTTTTGTGTTTTGGGGAGTTTCTCTTGCAGCCAAGGCGTCTGGAATCCTGTGCGGGCGTCGTGTATCACACGGGTTGCCCAACTACACTACTCGTCTGCGGACGGTACAGGTTGTGTGTCCTCCACTACGACGACATCATGCATGTCTACCACGTGTCGTTGCTGCTTAAAGAACTGGTGGATGCTAAGCTGCCGAAGCCGTGGCAAGGATCCATGTAGGGCTACGTGCAGTTGTAGGGGCGGAGGCAGAGGGAATCCTATGTTTCGAAGACCCTCCTGAACCCCTGCGGTCAACATTGAAGCCTGAAGAACCGAAAAAGCTACCAGAACAAGTCGTTCTTGGTGTCTGCTGGGGTCCTGGAGGTGGCCTGCATGTAGTGTTTTGCGCGCATTGAACGTATACGGCTTGCGTAACGATACGACATGTCCTGCCAGCAATGTCCCTTGCTGATCCTTGTGAACCTGGCCATGGGAGTCCTGTATCCAGAGGCCGTCGTGCTGCCAGTCGGGGGTATCAAGGGCAATTACGAGGGACGGGATGGGAGCATTTCGAATGTCACGATGGACTACACATCCTCGCCGAATGACATACGTAGTGTAGTTGTGGAGTGGAGCGATCCACTTCAAATGAGAGTTTACCATGACATTGAACAGGGGCAGGTCCAGGGAATGGGTCAGGAGGGAATCATGACATCGAGGGTTAGCCCCACCTACAACGTAGAAGCCTCGGCCATTCTCCGCCCGTTTCCTGAAGCTAGCAGGAATCATGTTGAAGACACGGATGAGGTCTAGTTGACAAGGAGGCCTATCCAGCTGGAGAATGTTGAGGGAGGCTTCTTCGACATGTCGGATTCTATGATCACTATGGTCGGGATGCAGGGAGGGGCAAAGTTCGAGTGGGCTTCTACGGGAAGGCTTGCACGGCAGTGAAGGGGTTCTCGGGGACTCAAGACCATCACTTGCTGTCGTTGTTGGTGTGCGGAGGTCAACGACCGCCTCTGGCGCAGGTTGGAGGCGGGCAAAGATCATGAGACTCTTGATGTGGGCCCCGAGCTGTCCCCTACCTGTGATCCGAGTGCCTCTTCGCATGAACACTGGGAAACAACATTGGTCGCGGCTACACGAACTCGTTGCCGACATGCATCACCGATCACAGTGCAAGCAGGCGGACTTTTTAGCGCGCTCGAAGAGCTGGCAAGGTGCAACATCAGTGCAAGTGACGGCAAGGAAAAGGAACAGTCAGTGCAAGTGAAGTACAAAGGAAGTGAAGGCAGTGCAAAGGCAGTGGCAGGCAGCAGCAGTGCGGCAGCGACCCCTATGACCTTCCAGGGCAGTAAGGCCGTAAGTGAAAACTTTGACTCCCGAACAGAAACATGCCCCGGGGCCATTGCGGTCGACCGACGCAGCATGCTGAAAATGCACTGCGATTTCAGGCCACGGCTCCATCCTGGCTACTGATCGTGTACACGGGGCAGTCTCTCACATGTGCTGCTGCGGGTGCTGTTGAAGGGCATTCGCCAAAGTGTCCATGCTGGTGACGATCACTGGTGCTGGCCTCGAGCTCGGCGCCGGTCCATTCCACTCCGTGTAGACGGTCGGGGCGTGCGTTGGTGCCGGCGGAGGTCCTCGTTGCATCCA